CGAGGAGTTTTTTTTTCGTTTCCCTTTTTTCTGCCCCCCGCCCCTTTTGGGATTTCGGGGGTCGATCCATAGGAGAACGAGGACAAGCTTCACGTGGCCTTGCGGCAGGCGCCAACTGTTGTACATGACGTATTTGCTTTGATCCTTCGCAGGCTGAGCGTGGCTTCTCCCAAGAAGATGCCGCGACGGCCACGCCTTCGCTTTGCACACGTTGCGTGTTTTTTTCGGATTTTTTCGGCTTTTGCAGGAGACCTGGTGGAGCGACGAGCGCATGCCCTACACGCCGGCTTCAGCCTCAGTCTCTGCCCGGTCCGTGCTTTGTTTTTGCCCGCGTCTTTGAACCTGTCTCGCACCGCCTGGGAGGCCGAAGCGTGGAGTGAAGCCCGGGCCCTTTCTTGCGAGCGCTGCCCTTGCGACTACGTGTTTGACCTGGACACATGTGTTTCTTTTCCCACGTCTGCAAGCCACAGGCCCCGATGGGCCAGATCTGGCAAGCTTGGGGCTCACCACGGCTGGCTTGGGCTCATGCTGCGCCGGCGCTTGCCAAGGAGCAGGAGTGGGCTGAGGAGGGCGCGCCAAGCTCGCCTTGGAGCGCCCTGGCCCTACGTGTTGGCGATATCGCGGAAAAGCATGTGGCTGCCAAGGCCATACCTGCGTGGGCCTGGCCATCTGACAGCACGACCCCGGCCCGGCCTGAAAAGAAGGCCCTGCTTGCAGCCGAAAAGCGGCTAAAGCGCGGCAAGGCGACAGCCACAGCTGCGCCGCAGACCGCGGCAAAAGCCAAGGCAAAAGCCAAGGCGAAAGCTAAGGCGAAAGCTGCGGGCACGGAGTACGGGCGCCTCAAACGAGAGTGGCGCCAGCAGTACAAAGGGCCACGGTCAGGTTTCGAAGCCGCTTGGAGAGAGAGCGACGTATGTCAGCAAGCTCTCCAGGCGATGCCGGCCCAGGAACGCAAAAAACGCAAATTCGATGGCTACGTGCAGTGAGATGTCACGGAAAAACAGCTCGGGCATCCATTCGGAATTATATTCGCGTTTTCTGCTCTCATTCATCACGATCAGATAAGATTCAGTTGAATTCCACACGTCGCAGCTACGCGGCTCTAGCAGTGCACCTGGTGGCGAATGGAGGTCGGGCTGTCGGTGCCCAAGCTCGATTACGAATGAGCTTACATCGTTATTTTGGCCCACCGCTAGGCCCCAGCATCACCCGCTGGTGCGCGAGATCCGTCACAAGATCTGGCAGGTGGTGGTCAAGCCAGGGCCCGGCTCTAAGCGCGACCCTAACTTGAAAGGGACATTCCTCATATCCATGAGATATTCTTGTGTGCGTGCAGGCTGGAGAGAACGCAGGGCGCACAGACCCGGCACCAATTGCAAGTGTCGTGTGCACCGCCGACCACGCTCAGGCTGAGCTTCGAGCCGCGCACGGAGGAGGTGGCCGTGGTGGGCGCTGTGGCCAAGAGCAAAGCTGGGCCGCCGCTGAGGCCGGTTTTTTTTTGATCTTGGGCGGGGGGGGGGGGGCCGGGCTCCCAAACAAAATCCATCTTCCAGGCCAGAGTCGCTGATCGACGTTTGCCCGGAGCTCGCGCGATCGCACGCTTCGGATTGCTAGCGCAACCCGCGCAAGATGAGATTCTCAATCCTTGCAGCCTTGCTCACTTCCCTCATCGACAGCTTCGGCGAGCCAGCGCGTGGTTGCCACACGGATGTGCAGGAGGAATTTGCGGGAGACCACAGGCTCAGCCAGGCATGCATGGACGCGAACCTGAGTGTTCTCTGCCGCGATGTCCGTGATAGCCGGCATCTAGACCTGGCAACTGCCATAGGTTTCCTTTGTGCGCTGCAAGGGCTCAGGTCTTTAAGGCGCTTTGGCTTGTACTGGTGCGCGCCACCCTGTTCAAGCTGGGTGTGGCTCAGTCGTGGCTCTAGCGGCAGGTCACGGACGCGTGTGCGAGGGCGTCGGTGGGTGAAGAAAGTCAAGGAGGCCAACCGCCTGATGAGGCGGGTGGTGTACCTGCTCGAGTACGCCACGAAAAAGGAGGCATACTTCGCCTTGGAGCAGCCAGTGAGCTCTTTAGCATCCCACTACGCGCCGCTGAGACGATTTCTGAAGAAAAAGAACGCCGTGGAGATTTCTGTGCCACTAGGCATGCATGGGGCTGTCAGCGAAAAACGCGTGACGATCTACACCGATGCCCCGTTCCTTCGCGAGCTAGGCGTGCAAGTAGACCCGCGAAGGCGGCTCCTGCTCAGGCGTTTGCGGTCCATGAATATGATCCAGCTGGTCCGCAAGTACCGAGACAAGCGGGGCCACCTCAGAGTGGCTACTGGTCTGAATTCCTTCCAGCCGTGTAGCTAGCTAGCTCCTCACACACAGGCTGGCGCTCCCGGCAACGCTCTTCGACTCAGCCAGTCCTATCCGGCTGGTCTGGGCTTGAAGGCCACGCGTCCACACAGATCAGCTGCAGAGGCAAATGGTCTAACTCTTGCAATTGCAGGTCGCCGGCCTTCTCCAAGCCAACCTGTCGGACCCTGAGAATAGCACTTTCCAAGTCAACTCCATCACGTTTTAGAGATGCGCGCTTATAGGCCTGCGGAGCCAGAGATTTTGAGCGATATTGGGCTTCGTTTCTTCGATGATGAAGTCTTGGACAGCGACGATAGCGGCCTGGAAGATTTGCTCGAGCCCCGGCCCCCCGCCCCCTAAACCCCATCTATCCATTCATCCATTCACATATGTTGATGTGTTGCCATTCCCTGGCGCAGGCGTTGCGACGCGGAGTGATCGGGAACGGCCGAAAAAATGCGCTCGTGCGTCACGAACGCTTATTTTGGCGCAGCTACTTGGTCACGCACACGTTTGTCGATGCAAACTGCTGGCAGCGCGCAGCCTCAAGCCGTGGCCTAGCTCAGGGGCCGGGCCTGCGTGCCTCTCAGCGCTGCTTTGCACTCAAGTGAACACAGACCTGCATCGTTTCAGGTATAGCCAGCTGCGGAGCAGAGGCGCCTGAACTTCCTCTGCCCCGACGGCGCTGCGGTCTGGGACCAAGCCACATTAAGGCTGTCGCTCGGGCATCGAGTGTTTCAACGGTACTAGGCCTGTGCGTGGCCGTGAGCTCACAAAGGTCACGGAGGACGGAGGACGGTCTTGCTACGGTCTCGCTACGTCGGTTTTTATCATGGAAATAGACAATCAGCTTTAAATTTCTTGCTTGCATATGTCAGGGGCTGATCCATGATGTCTGAATTTGGCAGGTTTGACATATTACCGGCAGGCGTCAGCACGTGCGAGCCACGCAGATCACGCAGATCACGTTAAGTCACGCTAGGTCGCGAAGAGTCACGCGCAAAGTCATGCGCAGAGTTGCGCGCAGTCATTCCAGGATTGACGAGTTACGAGTCACGCTAAGTCACGCAGAGGCACGCTCACAACCAAGTGTCACGCTCTGAGTCACGCTAAGTCACGTCAAGTCACGACAAGTGCAGAGTCGCGCAGCGTCACGCTGAGAGTCACGCTAAGTCACGCCAAGTCGCTCAGAGTTACGCTAATTACACGCCAAGTCACGCTAAGTCACGCCAAGTCACGCTAAGTCACGCCAAGTCACGCAGAGGCACGCTCACAACCAAGAGTCACGCTATGAGTCACGCTAAGTCACGTCAAGTCACGACAAGTGCAGAGTCGCGCAGCGTCACGCTGAGAGTCACGCTAAGTCACGCCAAGTCGCTCAGAGTTACGCTAATTACACGCCAAGTCACGCTAAGTCACGCCAAGTCACGCTAAGTCACGCCAAGTCACGCAGAGGCACGCTCACAACCAAGAGTCACGCTCTGAGTCACGCTAAGTTACGAGCGCAGAGTCACGCCGAGAGTCACGCTCTGAGTCACGCCAAGTCAAGCTACGTCACAGGGTCGCGCAGAGTCACGCAGAGTCACGCAGAGTCACGCAAAGTCACGCAGAGGCACGCTCACAACCAAGAGTCACGCTCTGAGTCACGCTAAGTCACGAGCGCAGAGTCACGCCGAGAGTCACGCTCTGAGTCACGCCAATTGGTCAAGCTACGTCACAGGGTCGCGCAGAGTCACGCAGAGTCACGCAGAGTCACGCAAAGTCACGCAGAGGCACGGTTACAGCCGCGAGCGCGGAGAGTCACGCTCTGAGTCACGCTAAGTCACGCCAAGTCACGCCATGTCACGACAGGTCACAGAGTCGCGCAGAGTCACGCTGAGAGTCACGCTAGGTCACGCAGAAACACATCAAGGCGAGCGCAGAGTCACGCTGGGAGTGTTACGCTCTGAGTCGTGCGAAGTCACGCCAAGTCACAGAGACGCGCTCAGCTTAGAGATTGAGAGCTAGCCACGCTGAGTCCCACAAAGTCACGCTAAGTCACGCCAAGTCACGCTCACGCAAGGGCAGAGAGTCACGCTCTCTGAGTCAGGCTATAAAAGTCACGTCGCGCTGGGAGACACGCTCTACGCTAAGCGACGCCAAGCCACACCACAGAGAGACGCGCTCAGTCCTAAGTCACGCCAAGTCACGCAGAGGCACGCTCCGAGCGCAGAGTCACGCTGAGAGTCTCAGTCACGCCAAGTCACGCCAGGCGCACAGAGGCGCTCAGAGTCACGCTGAGAGTTGCGCTAAGTCACGCTGATTCACGCCAAGTCACGCAGAGGCACGCTCAGAGCTGCGCGCGCAGAGTCACGCCGAGAGTCCGCTCAGAGTCACGCAGAATCACGCTAAGTCCTGCAACAGACAGCATGAATTCGGTGTAGGCTGATTGTTTTACAACGCATCAGCGATCTAGTTTGGCCAAGCAAATTCTGGTAGCAAATATATTTGTGTTTTTCGTTTTTTTTTTCAAAAAAAAACGGCGCGTGACTACCCGTGACTTTCCGTGACAGCGGTTCTAAAGTACACAGTTTCCCCGTGACTACCCGTGACTAACCGTGACTTGCGTGTGTCAGATTTTCTTGGATTTTTTTGTTTACACGCATGCGGAGGAGATGGCAGAGGATGTCGCCACCCCTCTGCGCCGGGGGCCATTGATTGTCAGTCAGAGCCCCATCGTGAAGAGTTTTCCGCACGCTAAGGTCGGCCGAGCGCACTGCGCGTGTCCCTCGAGGCTGCAAAACAGAAAACAAACAGAAAACGCGCTTGCAAAACGCGACGAATTCCGCAGGACCCCGAGCAGACCTACAGGCGCAGCAAGGGCAAAGGCAAAGGCAAGACGAAGGACAGGGAAGGCAAAGGCAAGACGAAGGACAGGGACGACACCAGCGAAGGAGAAAAGGAGCAGGAGGAAGGACAGAGCAACAAAGGCAAAGGCAAAGCGAAGGGCGCCAGCAAGGGCAAAGCCGCGGGTGAAGGAAAGGGTAAGCCCCTGAAGGGGCAGGAGGAGGACGGACGCGGCAGCAAAGGCAAAGGCAAAGCTAAGCTGACGCCCGCGACGAAGGAGGACAGCAGCAAAGGAACACAGGGCAAAGCTGCGGGCAAAGCTGCGGGCAAAGGAAAGACAAGCCCAAAGGAGCAGGAGGAGGGTGGACACGGCAGCAAAGGCAAAGGCAAAAAGGAGCAGGCGCCTGCGACGAGGGAGGTCAACAGCAGCAAAGGAACAAGTGGCAAAGCCGCGGGCAAAGGGAAGACAAAGGAGCAGGAGGAGCTGGGTGGGCACGGCAGCAAAGGCAAAGGCAAAGCAAAGGACAAGCAGGCCCCCGTGACGGAGGCCAACGGCAGCAAAGGAGGCAAAGCCGCGGGCAAAGGAAAGACAAGCCCAAACGAGCAGGAGGAGGACGGACACGGCAGCAAAGGCAAAGGCAAAGACAAGCAAGCGCCCGCGAGGGACAGCAAAGGAACAAAGGGAAAAGCCGCAGGCAAAGGAGCCGAAAACACAAAGGAAAACCAGAAGAGCGCAGGAAAGAACACGGGGAAAGGGAAGGAGGACTGGGCTAACTAGAAAACGGCCTCGGATCGACACGGGAACACAAACGTAAACGTCTGTCTTCGCAGGACACAAGCAAGAAGTGGACAGAGGTTGCGGGAAACGAACAGGACTTCGCGTCCCTTATAATCTCGCGTGTGCGGCTCAGACTTAGTTGAGGACAACCCCAAAGAAGAGGAGACTCAGGCAGGCCTGGGATCCAAGATGCGCCTTACGCAAAGAAACCGCGAGCCAACAAATCAAGCGCGCGTGCTCTCCATTGCCCGCAGGACTCAGCTGGCATCCGTGAGGACGAAGCTCGCAATCAACTGCTGGCAAACTGCTCGGGCAGTGGCGCTCACTGAGGCGAAAACACCCGCACTCTTGCCAGGACTCTCTGCCAGTGGCAGCAAGTTCGACAAGCAGATGCGGAAAGACTGCAGACGCGTGCTGCGTGACCTCAAGCCCCTCGAGCCTGAGCGCACGCCAGAACTACAGGAAGGAGAGGAAGAAAGCCCAGCAGAGGACGACGAGATCTGGGAAGGAGAAGCCTCCGCGCCGCACACCCCGGCGCGCCCCTGCTCCCACTTGTCCTAAGAGCTATCGAGCCCCTTCAGGCCACAGGAGGCGGCCCAACAACGCACGAGACAAGTGCTGCTGGGCCCCAGCAGGTCTGTTGTCAAACGCCAAGCTGCTTGCTGACGTCAGGTGCGGCGGAGCCTCACCCTGCAGTCTGCGCAGGACAGACATATGAGGCTGCGCGCGTGCGTGACTGTGTACGTTAGGCCGGGGAGACGACTGTGGACGGTCTTGTGGTTGTCAACCCCAAGACGCAGAAGCTGGAGAGGGCGCCATGCTGTGCGCATTCTTTTGCATCGACCTGCGCCCTGGTTGTCGCCTAGGTCAAGAAGCTCAGCGAAGACCAGCGCCGAGTGGTTCAGAACCTGAGCTCGCCTGCGCAGCTCCCTCACCAGGCTCTGTCATCAAGTGACATCATGTTGTGCGTTGGAAGCTGGAGAAGCATGAGCGACAGCGCTAGGTGCGTCGCACCTTCTACTCGGCGATGGACCGCAAGTTCCGGTCAGCTAAGCCAGGAGGCGTGTTATGTGTACCTGCCCCTTGGCAACGTGTGCATCATCGCGCGCAGAACTCCCTCCGGGACTCCTCGCTAAGTTCAACGCAAGCTGTGGGACGTCGAAAAAGCCCGGGGCTTGAGCAGTTGGCTCAGCTCTAAACGCCTGCCTGCCCGCCCACCGAGGTTCGAGCTCCTTAAAGAGTATATCTTGGACGAGTCGATGCCCGTGCCTCATTCTTTTTTTGCTTAGCTACAGCTACAGAGCAAGTTTGCAGGAATTTGTTGGAGAGAAACCTACAACCACAGCGTGCGAGTTTGTAACTCCGTGCTCTTTTCTCCGTTGCTTTTCCCTGTTGCTTCACTTTCAAAATTTTGGAAGGTTTGAGAGGGACCTGATTTGCTGCGCCGGCCTGCATGAATTATTTGCTTTTTTTTGCCAAGGAAGAACGTGCAAGTAGAAGCGCACTTCATAGAGCGCCTTGGCGTTCACGCGCGCGTGTTTGTTTCTTCTTCGGCGGGCGCTCGAGTGTCCGGGCCAGGGAGCAGGAGTCGAAAAAGGGCTCCTTGTACGAAGAGCTCCCGTTGGTGGATCTCTACGAGAGGTACAAGACTGAGGAGGGCAGGCAGTTCCTGAAAGAGCTGCAAGAGAGCCTTCCTCTCAGACTGGACAGGGCACTGCCGTTCCCACGTCACCTGCAAGCCTAGGCCAAAAGGGGCGCCCGCACCCAGACCCCGCTGCCCTGGTCTTAGCAAATGTGAATATCATCGCGGGCGGCTTTCCCTGGAATTTGGAATGTATTCCAAGTTCCGGACGAACCCCATGTACCGCCTCTACAAGGTGTTTGCACGGAACTCGTTTGAGGGCAGGGGCCTCGTTGACCATGTTTTGCGCGTGGGTTTCGCTTGCAGCGGGCTAAGACTCGCTGTCCTCCCGGGCGGCAACTGCAATTAAAGCTACGGGCTCGGTCTCCTCCGTGTCCGGCAAGACCGCGCTCCGGGAGACCTTGGACGCGGCTCACCCGAGCGCAACCAAGCGCACGCAGCTGACCCTGCTGGACCAGCCCCCGAATAAGCGACCTAAGGGAAGCCCTAGCAACAAGGAACCGCTGGATCCGGCAAAGGAAGAGGCGCGCGATTGTCTTGCGCCTCGGATCATGCTTCACACGCCGACGTTGCAGGAGAAAAAGCAGAAGAAGGTCCAAGGCATGGTGAAAGCGTCTGGCCCTTGGCGCAAAACATTTCAGGGGTCCGAGTGCCCGCCGCCCCTACTTCGGGACGGGCAGGATCCGAAGCCTGGCTCAAAAGGCGCTGGTTGCTGGGCAGGCCTTGCACGGTGTGCCGCAGCAGCAGGCGCACGTGGCTCGCTTGCTCGCAAATTAAACTGTGCGCAGATCTGGGATGCCTTGCTCTGACAGGCGCAGATTTGCTTGCTGGAGGAGTGGAACGTTTGGCTCAAAGAAGAAGCAGACAAGCCCGGGCCCTTGCGGTCGACCTCTTGCGCCGACTGCGCGCCGCCTTGGCCAGCAGGCTGGAAAGCATGCAGTTCAAAGGCGCGTCAAGTTGGCACGTGGAAGAAGCCTTCGAAGGCAAAAAAAAAGACTTGGAGGCGCGTTTCCTACAGCTCGCTGCGCTTGTCGGCCTTGCTTTAAATTCTGAGGAAGCGGAGGACTTTGTGGAGAGCTGCGCTGCTGCGGCCAGGAGCCACGAAGGGCGCGCCGACCTCAGCTTTGTTTTGGGCGCGCGCCCGCCCTCTGTCAGTGCGCATGCTGCAGGCATGAAGAAAAAGCAGAAAGCCGAGGCCAAACAGGCGGTGATGCGTAGTTTGCGTTTCGACGCGTGCGTTGAAATATACCCCTTCAGGTGGCGAAGCCGGCCGCCAAAAAAAAGGCGAAGTCCAAGGCTGCTGCTCACAGCGTGTGGGCAGAGGCCTTGCTTTGCTTTCTCTTCTCAGTTCTTTTGAGATCAGCCTTGCAGGCCGAGGATATCGAGTGATCTGGGATGGATTGCATCTTTGGAACACGGCAGCGCGCGCGGTGCGGATCACGGAAAAAAAACATCGATCGTTGCGCGCGAGCTAGCGCCAGCTACGTAGTTCGATCGAGCTAGCAAATAAAAATGCCTCCCCTGCGCAGGGCCATGCCCAGAACTGGCGCCGCGGAGAACGTCCGGGAAATCTTCGATATGCTTTGCAACGGGGAGGCCAGGCGCATGCTCGCAGACACTCGCGTGGACACAAACAAAAACGGACACGCGCGCGCATGGCACACACACACAGACACACGCACACGTGCGCACACACACAGACACACATGCACACACAAGCACCCACCCACCCATCCACGCACACACAAACACACACGCACGCACACGCACACGCGCACGCACACGCACATGCACACGCCCACGCCCACGCCCACGCGCGCACACGCACACGCACGCACACGCACACACGCACGCACACGCCCACGCCCACGCCCACGCAAGCGCACACACGCACACGCGCACGCACACGCACACACATGCGCACGTTCTGGGGTGGAGGGAGGCCTTCGGGCCGTACCTCCCTTTCATGCCCCAGGGGCCGGGGTGGAGGGAGGCCTTCGGGCCGTACCTCCCTGCTGGCCCCGGTCTGCAGTGCGCCCGCCCCCCCACACACCCACACCCGCAACCACACCACACACACACACAGACACACGCACACACACACACACACACACGCACACATTCTGGGGTGGAGGGAGGCCTTCGGGCCGTACCTCCCTTACCATACCCCAGGAGTCGGGGTGGAGGGAGGCCTTCGGGCCGTACCTCCCTGCTGGCCCCGGCTGAAGCGCGCACACACACAACACCACACACACACACCCACACCCGCACCCACGCGCGCGTTCTGGGGTGGAGGGAGGCCTTCGGGCCGTACCTCCCTTTCCATGCCCCAGAGGCCGGGGTGGAGGGAGGCCTTTGGGCCGTACCTCCCTGCTGGCCCCGGTCTGAAGTGCACAGGCGCGCCCGCGCACACCCACACCCACACACACACACACCCGCACCCGCACCCGCACCGCACCCGAACCCACCCACTCACGTGGCCAGGCTTCGATGAAGCGAATGGCTTCCGTGACCAAGAACCTGCTCAATATGCCACACTATCTTACGCCGCCCCTCTGGCTGCGCCCGTATTTTTTGCTACCATGTGCCTGTCAAGTCTACGCGAATTAAGGACTCCTCTTCTTGAGCTCGCAGACACTATGAAAGCCTCCGGCGGCTGGAATCTAGAGCTGCGCTTTGAGAAGTGGCTGCACAAACAGGCTTGGAGGCAAATCCTGCCGTCGCACGGCTTTGAGTTTCTTGGCACTCGCGTCTTGTCATTTCGTTGGCTCTGAAAGGGCCCGTGTAAGACTCGAGGTTCCTGGTGACACGACACAATGCACCGCTTGGCCTGAAAGAGCAGAAGCTGACGGCCAGCATCATGCTCCCGCACGAGATATTGCACACCCTGTACAAGTCCGACAAGTTCCATCTCCTGACAGGCACGCCAGCCGCCGCTCGTTGCAAGCCGCCAGCTTGATCACGCAAGCGAAACTTTGTGCCCGCGCTCGCGCTTGCTCAGGACCTGGAAGAGTTTTGGAGCTTCAACGCAGACCTTGCAGAAGAGCTGCGAATGTCTTGGCAGGATGATGCTCCATAGACGCGCTATACACATCGTCAGTTGAGCTAGCTTTGCAACTATGACATTTATTCATCTAAGTTTCCAAGCACCGCGCTGGGCATCGTCCCCTTCAAGCTTTACGGCGATGGAGCCGAGACAAAAGGCGCCTGCAGGACGCGTTTGCGAAACAAAGACAAT